CACTGGAACAAGAGTTTTATTTGCCTGACGTTTCGGCTTCCCTCGGGAATCCTTAATCATAGGTAAGGGAGCACAGTCGTGGTCATGCGCAGTAAGCTCGATTCTGGGATCCCGCATGCTCTCTAACCTTTAGTGGGTTTAGAAGAAATTGAAATACTTACCTGTTAATGATCAACCAAAACCCCGTCTGAGCAGACACTACTGTACTCTGCTACTGTTTCCTACTCCTGCCTCTGATGATGAATCCGCGACGGATTTCGAAACGTAAGGCGAATAAAAGTATTGTCCCGGCGATCGAGTCTTCTTCTTCTTCTTTCTCAACTATTCTAACTATAAATGTAGAACTAACTTGATTTCAATGCCTCATTTTGGTTGCATGAACTTTGACATTCAACTGAATATACTGCGAGCAGTTAAATTGCATATTTTTCGCTGTTATTTAAACTTCCCTGTGTCACTGTCTGCCTTTCTCATTTCGCATGCTAAATTAATCTGTAAATTATTTGCCAATTGAATATTTTTTTTATAAAGACCTGTATCATTCGAATGAAGTTTTCAGGAACTTTTGTTGTCACCTCCCAATACACCAGATTCCTTTTTGGATTGTCATTTCATCGCGCAGTTATGCCTACCCAGTTGTCCACTCTTTCTTCTCCAGGATCTGCGCTTCGTTACAACCGAAGAGAAACGCAATCAGGGCTGCAAACGGGAGAACGAGCTACTGATACACAGACAGAAGGCCGATGGTAGAACCGTTCCTTACCGAGTGATTGATCAGCCCAACAAACTCCAACCCGATGAGTGGAACCGCGTTGTGGCCGTGTTTGTTCAGGGTCAGGCTTGGCAGTTTAAAGGGTGGCCAATCGGCTCAGATCCTGCCGTCATCTTTTCATTGCGTATGTAACTGTTTTTTTCGCACACTTTACTGTCTTATCATTGAATCTCCTTCGCCTCCCTGATAACATTCCTATCTGTGCTTTTTTTCATTACTCATTTACAAGTCTCTGTATCAATATATTCTATGATGGGACCGTGGCGTCATGTAAGGACGATGATTATGCCTGTGGGGAGATGGTTATAGGGATGGACCTTGTGTCTGGGTCATGTAGAAATTCTAAACAGTTTTGTGCTCTTCCCTTTAAGGACAAGCCTTGTCCTCCTGGATGTTTCGCATCTTAGTTTTCTGTACTTAAGTTCCTCCGGCGACGCTCCATCTGCCTTCACAGTCATAGCGTTAGCCCAGAGCCACTGAAGCCAACGAGACCTTACATTGTTTACGACTATGCCTTGTCGCCAGTGTTGACTAAATCTGCTTCTAACTGCCACCGTCTCTCTGCCCTCCAGTAAAAGGCTTCCACCTGAAGTACACCAATATGCCATTGGATGCCAACGTGGCCAAATGGAACGTCCAGGTTATAAATTTGGACAGGCGGCGGCACTTGGACAAGGTGCATTTTCAAGGTTTTTGGGATCAGTTGGACAAACACATTGCCAAATACAAGTCATTCCTTCGTTCTTAAGCGCCTACAGCGGAGTGTGACTACTTTTAGATTGTACAGTTTTGATGCTGCCAACCCCCTCCCTCCCCCTGTACTGCCCGTGAATCCCCCTGTTGACTTCTCTTATTTAACGTAACAATATTTTCAGAATGCAAAACCGACTTCTTTTACCTCTTTGCTGCACATGGTGTGTGCCGTTAGTACAGCGATTTCGAAATCTCCAAAACCAGAAGTAAGAAGGCCAGTTTTGGGAAGACTGTGAGCAGTAAAATCACATGCTTGCTGATGCCCCGCTTTAGTGGTTTCAACTTCTAAAGTTGCGAAATTCATCATCAGAGAACTCTGAGGAGCAGTTGGCGAGCCTATGTAAGCTTTTGATAAATTCTCATCTGACCAGTACATTTATATGGAAAGAGGGTGCAAGTTAAAATGTGCTCGTCTTTTAATACAAGTGACTCGTGGGAATAGGGTGGAAGGGATCGAAAAGTGAAGGCTGCTTATGCGGCGGTAGGGTTTCGGTGGAGCCGGCTCAGGGGGAGTGACAAGGAGAGAGTGCAGTCGAGTGCATACAGTTCAACGATCGTTGGTCGTGTCAGGCACGCAACTTGCAGGAACTTTTATGCACACAGTACAGTAGTCGCCGGCTATTAAGTCCACCTCGGGCCCAGACCAAATTGG